CCCCCATCCCACACTGCCCAGGCCAAAATAAGCGGCCTGCCAAGCCCCAGCTCTGTATTCATCCTTCCCCCAAATGTCGGTTACTCGGCAGGCAGTTGGAGCCCCACCCTTCCTCCTATGTAAATGCTGTATCTCAGTCCCTTGACCAGTACTGCAGCCCCTGCAGTGCATGTCTGCCTTGTGACAGGTTTCCAGAGACCAGGCCCCATTGAGAAGGGCTGGCATGTTCAGGCCAGTTACTCGGTCTTTCCTGGCTGCTCCCCGAGCCCAGGGGCTGAGCCTGTCCCGCATCTCATCTCTGGTTCCCTCGCACCTCTGCAGCGGTGCAGGGTCGTAGCCCCTGAGCTGGGTCCGGTTTGTTTTGTCTGCAGTCACCAGGCCTCACCTCCTATCCAGTTCCACATTCTGGGGCATATCCCAGAGCTTTTCAGAAATAACAATCCCTAGAGTGTACTGAGGTCTCACTCACTCCTAGGTGTCTGCCCTGGTACTTGAAATGCCCTCACCAGCCTGGGAAGGCTCTGTCACCATCTCCATTTTCCAGATGCAGGAACTGAGGCTGCAAATATTTAGATATATATTTGTCCTCATAAGGCTTGAGCCCTGGTCGGCCTCCTCCGCCAGTGGTCTTCCCACCGTGCCGCATGCCTCTCCGTGAAGCATTTTCTTGTGAGCAATTCTAGGAGGGTGTATGTGTGTCTATGTGTGTGGAATTGGAGCCCCACCTGAAAAGGTGATGCCAAGAGAGTCAGAGTGGAGACGTCAGGGAGATGCTGGAGGACCAGGACACCAAGTGGGCAGGAAGGAGCCTGAGAGGTGCTTGGGCACTGATGCCGCCAGGCTGGTTTGAAGAGAGATTGGGTGCTTTGCACAGAACAAGCAGTAACAGGTTATAGAGAATTTTGACCTCGATGGAGTAAGAACCAGGCAGCCAGTGGACGTTCCGCCTTCAAGCAGGGGCAGGGGCGGGGGCGGGTGTGTATGTGCGCGTGCGCGTGTATGCTCAGGGCGAACCTCCTGATAATAGGTTCCTCTGCACACTTTGATAGGACCTGTGTGCCAGCACCCCTGGCAACATTTGGGCAGGTGTGAGTTCCATCATCACATCGTGGGCATCTCCCCCCAGCTGTACGGAAGGGCTCAGGACTCAGTACCCCAGCCCAAGGCCCAACAGCTGTGGTGTGTCCGCCAGTCTCTGCACTGGCAGCCATGTGGCTAAGAGATCAGCCCACCCTGGTCCCGTCTCTGGCCATCTCTACCCCAGCCCTGTTGCCATCCCATTGTAGGTCCCCTGAGCTCTATAGGCAGAAATTGGAAGCCTTCATCCCATCAGAGCTTCCCTAACAACTCATGTTCCATTGCTTCAGAAAGAAAAGAGGCTGTTTCGGTTTATTTCTATTATCAGATATTCTGGCATATGTTCATGTTTCTCCTGAAGCCAGGTGTGCTGTGGAGAATGCAGAAACGTTTCAGTAGGGGGCAGGAGGGCCGAGGTGGAGGCTGAGACCTTCTTGTCCACTGCTGATGAGGAGGGTCCAGGCCCGACGATGGCAGGGTGCTTCAGTGAGGCGCATCGCCTCAGAGGTGAGGAAGCGGAGGCCTAGAGGGGTGTCACCTCCATGGAGTCCCCAGATCAGTTAGTGGCAGAGCCAAGACCCGAACCTGGGTCTCTGCCTGTGCCTTGCAGCCACCGGCAATGACCTGCCTTTCTCCCTGGGCTGGCATTGGCTCCAGGGTCCAGGCATTCTCCACTGTTGGTGCCTAAAGGGCACAGGGTCTAGAGTCCAGAGTCCAGGCTCCAGAGCCAGACTGCGTGGATTTGCGTGCCACCTTGACGCTCAGGTGTGTGACTCAGAGGGTTCCTGGCCTCCCATTTCTAGAATGGGGAGAGTGCCAGCTACATGGTGCTTTTGTGAGGCTCCAGTGAGATGGTCTTGGTACCTGGTTTAAACCGGGTAAATGTCACTTACTGCTAGGGTGGCCCCAGGCTGGGCATCAGCTGAAGTGAAGCTCCTCTGTTCACAGAGAAACCAGGTGGACACACCCCCAGGAGGTCAGCTGTCCAGGTTCCTCCCAGTCTGACCTCACACAGGACCTCATCTCCATTCCACAGAGCCTGTCCAGTCCCTGTCTTATTTCACACCAGGGCAGGTGGTGTCAACCCCAAAGACAGATGAGGAAACAGAGGTTTAGGGAGGGATGGCAGCCTGCCAGGGTGACACAGTAACCTGGCAGTGCAGCCTGGATTGAATCCATACCCCTAACCTTTTGTCCAGGCCTGCTGCTTACAGGAAGCAGGTCAAACAGGCTAGTCTTCTCCCTCTGGAAAAATAAGTACTTCCCAGGAGGCCCTGGTGGGATGTGGCTCAGTTGTGTCTGGACAGTTTGACTCTTAAGTGCTGGCCTCCTCCCCCAGACCTGGGCAGCCTGGCACCCTCTTTCTGCAGTGCCAGGAGGTGGGGGCCCCTGATGCACCTGGGCGTCCCATAGGAAGGCGGGGGGCATGTGGAGCTGGTCCATAGCAGCCAGAGGACCTGTGCAGATGAAAGGAGTGTGGAGCAATGAAAAGCTGGGAGGCAGGTCCTCCGTTGTCAGAAATCCAGTGGGTAGCATGTGGGGAAGGAACAGACCAAGGCCTGTGGCATCCTACTGTGTGTGCTTCACTCAGCAACATTTCTGAAGGATCAGCCCCCCGTGCCAGGCCCCGTGCCAGGCCCTGGGGACGCAGAGATGCAGAGTCTTAGCCCTCAACAGACTTGATCCATTGGGGGTGACTGAAAAAGCAAAGACATAAACCAACCCAGGATGGTGAGAGTTAAAAGCCCCCCCAAGGAAGAGACCCCAAGTCTCTGCTGGGCACATTTACTCTTCCACCCGCAGTGCCTGGCTCGTGGTGGCAGGTTCACAAGCAGGACTTGCTGAGTGAGTGGGGGCAGGGGAACAGGTGGATGTGAGCCCTGGTGGAGAGTGGGGTACACCCTCCTGGGAACCATCACTGCCCAGCAATGGTGGGAGCCATGTCCTCCCCCTAGGGCCGCAACCAAGGGTCGTCCTTGCACGGGGCTGGAGCCAAGGCTCCTCCTCCCCTCTCAGGTGCTGGGATTCTAAATTCCTAGCCCCTCCCAGGCTCCAGGGCATAACCCATGCAATTTGGCTGTGGTTGAGTTATTCCCCACCTGCCAGCGCTGCCACTGGTCAGATCCGCGCCCCTCCAGCAGGCATGTGCCACCGGGGCTCAGTCCAGGCAGTGAAGACCAGGGGATGCGAACCTTCCCTCCCTCCATCCCTTCCCCACCCATCCCATCTCATCCTCATGTCCATTCTCTCCGCCGGTTCCCGTCGGCCGCGTGTTCCATCGCCATCTCCCACACCAGTGTCCAAGAGACGCAAGGCCCATCTGCGGCGCCTGGATCGCCGGTGGACCCTGGGCGGGATGGTCAACAGGCAGCACAGCCGAGGTGACGATGGGGGCCAGCTTCTCCCCCACAGCTGCTGTCTCTCTTTCACTAACACTTCTCCTTCCTGGGCTCTGCCTCTCTGTGCCCTGTGGCCTCCTTGCCCAGATTCACCAGCCAGACTTTCCTCTCACCTGCTCTAGCTGGC